GCTGCACAGGAAAGGTACAGAAACAGAAAGTGATATTATGATCACATACAGGGCAGGCAAGAATGTGATGGTTAACAGACCCGTAAGAGACAAAATTTCACATCCTGTTCTTTTTGATCCGATTAAGATACTGCTGACAGTATACATTACCCCCACCAGTCCAGCAGCACCTGGGACTGGACTAAGGATACTTTGTGCGTGTTAGTATATTTTTATTTTAAGAGGCTATTTAGGGATGTTGGTGGGGGAGGGATTTCTAAGCCACTGATAAATGGCAGCTTAGATTTATGGCCATCTGGCCCTCAACTAAATAACCACCAGCATGACATTGATGGTGTTGCATTATGATTGTTAGTGCCAGAACTGGAAGAGACTGTCCGGTTTGGCCAATGTACATGGCAGAAGGGCATTGCTGGCACATGATGGCATATATCACATTGGTAGATGTGCAGGTGAACGAGCCCTGAATGGTGTGGCTGATGTGGTTAGGTCCTATGATGGTGTCCCTTGAATAGATACGTGGACAGAGCAGGCACCAGGGACAGTCTCTATGCAAAAGAATAAATGGACACAAATCTGACATCAGAAATCATAACATTCAAAAACTAGTAGAACACTTCAATCTCTCTGGTCACTCAGTAACAGACCTCAAAGCGGCAATTCTTCAACAACAAAAACTTCAAAAACAGACTCCAACGTGAAGCTGCAGAACTGGAATTAATTTGCCAACTAGATACCATCAGATTAGGCCTGAATAAAGACTGGGAGTGGTTGGGTCATTACAAAACCTAAACTTAATTTCCCCAATACTAATTTATCCCTACTGTTACTCACACCTTCTTGTCAACTGTCTGTAATGGGCCTCTCTCACCACTTCAAAAGAGATTTTTCCTTCCTTGGTATCCTGCTGTTAATTGATTTATCTCATTAGACTGACCTAATACTTGGTAAAGCACCCCCATCCTTTCATGTATTTATACCTTCTCCTGTATTTTTTACTTCATACGTCTGATGAAATGGGTTCTAGCCCACGAAAGCTTATGCCCAAATAAATTTGTTAGTCTGTAAGGTGCCACAAGGACTCCTCGTTTTTTTTTTGCTGAAACAGACTAATACGGCTACCACTGAAACTTGTCACAGAGGGAAAAGTGATTTGTCCAACACCACACTGCAAATCAGTTGCAATGCTGGGATTAGAACCTAGAACTGCAGACTCCCAACTCTTGTACTCATCCCTCCAGACAGTTAGAAGGCAATTACTATAAAAAAAACAGCTGGCTGGCTAGCAAAGATTTTAATCACACGGTTAACCAAGCCGTGCAGCTATGTAACCAGTTTGCCCATCCAAATAACATCTTGAGCAATTTCTCCAATTTGAGGACCACAGATTTATGTTACCAAAAGGCTCCTAAAATCCATAGTTGGTTTTGGAGTGTCAATATGGAGATTACATTAAAGAGTTAGCAGCTGACATCTACAAGCACAGGGGTAGGCAACCTATGGCACGCGTGCCAAAGGCGGCACGCGAGCTGATTTTCAGTGGCACTCACACTGCCCGGGTCCTGGCCACCTGTCCGGGGGGCTCTGCATTTTAATTTAATTTTAAATGAAGCTTCTTAAACATTTTGAAAACCTTATTTACTTTACATACAACAATAGTTTAGTTATATTCAGGAGCACCGCCAGCTTTTCTGCTGCCCTAAGCGGCGGAAGGTCCCGCCCTGAAATGCCGCCCCCCACAGAGGTGGCGGAAGGTCCCGCCGCCGAAATACCGCCGCGGTCGCTGCCCCCCAAATTGTAGTGCCCTAGGCGACCGCCTAGGTCGCCTACTGGGTTGCGCCGGCCCTGGTTATATATTATAGACTTATAGAAAGAGACCGTCTAAAAACGTTAAAATGTATTACTGGCGAACAAAACCTTAAATTAGAGTGAATAAATGAAGACTCGGCACACCATTTCAGAAAGGTTGCCGATCCCTGTACAAGCAAGTTCTCTCTCAGGTATGGCTGCTTGCCAGTTACCAGCAGCCTAGCCATGGAAACAGGGGCCAGAGGGAATTACATAAATATGAAGTTGTTTAGAAAAGCAGGATATGAAGGTTATTTCAGCTGACCTGACCTCTATTTCTATGGCTAACAGCAGGCACAATTCAGCTGCTGACTTCCAGTTTTCTACCATTTGTGGCTCAACTATTGTATCTGTAGAAAAGAGGCACCAGGTTTTTAATTACTGCCCCAAAGCCCTAACCTTGCACACAAGGCTTGCTCCTGGAACAAGATCACAAGAGAGCAAGAACTTGTGTACATTTCAGCTGCTGGCAGCTTACAAAGCTCTAGGAGGGCTGGTTTAAAATTAAAAAAAGTCAGCTGCTGATTTTAGAAGCCTTCTGCTCCTGCAGCATGTGAAACATCAAACAAAGGACAAGAGAGTTAGAAATTCAGAGAGTATTAAATATTCTTACACTTTACAAATACAGTCCAGAAACATTTTCCAAGAAGTATCTAGTGCCAGATACCTGCATTTCTCAGGGTTAAGGGTTTTTGCTTATGCTAACAAGAACTATACACCTTGGATAGCGTTCTGGCTTACATTGAGGCCTAGTCACAAGAAATTGCGATGAAATTCCATGGCATGTAGTGTGCAGGAGGTGAGACTAGAGGATCTAATGGTCTCATCTGGCCTTAAGATCTATCAATGTGTCTATATAAAGAAAAATGTAACCCTCTTATTTTAGGGTCACAGCCAGCATGCAGCCTGCCTTAGTTTAAAAAAAAAAAAAAAAAAAAAAGGGGGGGGTGAGATTTTTGAAAAGCCCAACATGCCCTGAAGTTACTCACAGGACACCTTCAACAGATTGCGCTCAGTTTATTACCAGATCAGTGTTTTGCCTTGAACATCCCTTGAAGGAGGTGTTAAGTAGGGTCTGTGGACTGGCAAAACAATCACCTTTTAAAGAAGTCTGTTGTGGGGCTCTGTAAGAGGTGTAGTCACATGTATCAAAAGGATGAGTGTTATGACACCTACTCACTTTACTATAAATTAGATTATAAGACTAAGACGCATGTGTGGCAGTTTAGAAGTTCTATATACCACCTTTTAAAATAAATTATTCCACATAACAGAAAATCTGCATGAAAAATACACAACTTTCTTCTTAAATTACTGCTGTGCCAAATGGCACATAATCCAAAATTATGTAGTTTTGTTCTTTCAGAGTTAAGTGCTCTCTGCGTCAATAATTAAACACAGAAAGCCTTGACTGGGAGCAGTTCTGTATTTTGGTGCCCCACCCCCACAATCCTAGGAAAAACACCCAATGTTTTTTTAAAACAAAAAACAAAAAACCTTGTTTATTTAAGAGGGAGACCAACATTTGGCTTTCCTCCCATCTGAAAACCTTTCGGCAAAGTATCATCCCAGAGATAGATAGGGCTATGTATTCTGGCTGTATGAGACCACTACTGAAATTTCACAGGTATTTAATATTGACATGCATGTCTGTTGAGGGCAGAATAAAGGAGAATAAATGAGTGAGTTCCGGTTTGTGGGACGTTTGTTCCGGTCTTCATTATAGTTCACTGAACAGGAACTGAAATACTGTTCTGTTGCTTTGTATCTCAAGGGACATGTAGATCTCACAGGGCAATCTTTATAAATTCCCATGGTACTGGAAGATCTGAATTACGCAGAAGAGAAATCTCTCTGCACATGCCAGAATAAGAGGGACATGCAGTAGGCTTTCAGAACTCCAGTTCTCTACACCCACTTCTAGGTCTCAGTTAACAGCCTCTCCAAAGCTTGGCCAGAGATGAAAAGGCAAAGTAGACTTTCCTTAGACATGAGGCTGAAGATTACCTCCTAGCCCCACAAATCATTCCTTCCTAGTGGCAGTGTTTTTAATTTCACATTTTATAACTGTAAGACTACACAGTGTACAGCAACAGCAGCCTTAGTTCAATGTTTATTATTAGCTTCTCACAGTTATTCCTCAGACTTCCCAGTGATACTTCCCTTGGTAATGGCTCCTGGCAATTACCATTCAACTGACAGCATTCTGCAGTCCAAATTCAGCCCTGCTGAAGAGGAATTTAAGTGACACGTATTTCAAATAGAGTTGCACACATTTATATATGGTTGAATATGGCCTTCTAATAGGGCTACAAGTTTCAGTGTATAGTAATTTACCACAGGAGCGTGGCCAAAGTTTGATTGTATTCTGATGGCCATTAGCCCAAAGCTAGGTGTATGTTAGTGACAGATTTCGAGGTGGAATGCTCACCGATACGAACTCTGGGTAGACTAATGCCCACTACAGTTCTGCACCTTTAAACCTTATAACAGTTATCTTCTTAAGTTAGTTGCTTGAAGGAAAGTTAAGAAATGGCTGGTAGAAAGATCACTGCTCACCACAATGGGGGATTTGAACCAATCCCACCACCAAGTTGTAGTGGCAGGCTGAATTTTATAGCCACATTTTTGCCATCCAAATAGTGTTATAAGAACAACTCTAAAGCAGAGTCAGTGTACTTACACATAGATCAAATACAGCAGCATCGAGCACAATTTGTATTACACATTAATAGCGGAATGGACAAAGATCAGAATTTGAACTCAATTCCCTCCTCCCTGTTCTCCCAACATTTCATCACAAAGGAAAAGCAGCAGCTCAGCAAAAGGGGGGATTCCCAAGAAAGGCAACTCCTCCTCTTCGTATCCATGTTTGAGTCTCGAAGTGGAATATCCAATATTGACAGAGTGCTCTGGGCTTGTTGGATTCAATGCAGAACAAAGAAGAATCATATTGTTTCGCTACTGCTCAGCTAAATGCTGTTGATTCTTTTCGCAAAAGCAGATGTGGAACTGATGATTCATGATTCACAGGCTCTTCATGCCAAATTCTCGACATTTGCACTTACCTGAACATGCCATTTGGCTCTCTCTCACGTACACACACAGAGGAGATGAAACAACAATATCCTGGGGCAGTTGCTCCTCCTTACCTTATGTACACTTTTGGGATTTTCCAGCCAAGCATAGTACATTTCCTCCACATAGTTCGAACTAGTCCCACTCAAAAATGGCTCAGCAGCAACAGGTGCACTGTAGCTCCTGATTTGTTGAAACGTCCGTGGTGCTGCCGGCTTGTGTTGGGAAATTGTCTTAACAGTCTGTGAGGCCGTCAATGGCCTCAATTTAGCAGCACAAGTCCTTAAGTGAAACATTTTTGTCCTGTAGCCGCTCACAAGCTCCTGTTGGTATAGGAATAAGAAGCATTTTAGACATTACAGCAGAACAATGCACAGTATATAAAGAGAAATCAACCTAATAACCACATAGCTGTTATTTAGCATTTTTCATCCATAGATCTCGAAGCCCTTCTCAAAGATCAGTCTCAATCTCCATTTTACAGATGGGGAAATGGAGGCACAGAGAGGTCACCCAGCAGACCAGTAGCAGAGCCACTAACAGGTCTCCCATGTCCTAGTGCAATGCTCCATCCATGAGGCCACATTGCCTTCCCTACATAATCTGATTTCTAATTTGGTTACTTGAAACCAATAGTTTAATGCAGGTATTGGCATTGCATAACCACTAATTTAAGATATGGACTAGTATCCCTTTGAGTTACCACCCCAGCCAGTCGCAGCCAGTCATTAGGAGAAGGGAATTTAAGCAGGAAACGGAATAGATTTTTTTTGGGGGGGAGGGGGCAGAGGGGTAGTTATCACTTATGGCTTTGAGCCAAACATCTAAATTTGTCAACCAAACCTAGCATCAACGTTTTTTCTCCCCATTTTGTTTTCAGTTTACATCATGTGCAACTGATTTTAATATCTTAACTTGCAAGTGTCACATTTATCAAGTACTACTACATTGTGAATAGATGTTCTATTTTTTCTGAGGACAGCTGACAAAAGGAGAAAGATCTCATCATTTATACTTGTTGGGGCACAGGAATGGAGGAGCGAAAGCTTGGCTGTAAATTTGATCAGAGAAAGGTGGTCACTAGGTTCCTGACTAAGACCATCAGAAGCAAGGTTAGAAAAGAGATAAGGATGATTATAAACGAAGGGGATAGTGGGGGAAAAAGGGATTTATTGACAGGAGCAGGCACCCCAACAGAGAATGTAATTATAACTAATGGGAAGCAGTGGCAGCAAAGTGGTTATTTCATGCTGATAAGACTGCCACTCAGACAGCCACACTTCTGCTGAACTGTATTCCCATTCCCACCTCCCTGCAGTTCTCTTCACCTTTTTGCCCTTACTAGTGTCCATATTGCACATGCCCACACTTCTGAAACAGGGAAAAAGCAGCCCTTCCTTGCAGCACAGTGCCTGGATAGCATTTCACAGCATGTGCTCCATTGTTCCCTACTTGCACTAGGAAGAGGTCCTTAAAGCTTCAGAGTAAAAATTATCGGCTATTATTATGCAAAATTAAAGGAGTTACATGTGAGAAGTATAAAAGGACAAAGTCTTAATGGATTTGCTGTCCAACTAAGAATGCTGAGAGAGAGCTGGAAACCCATATTTCCACTTTTTGAGAGTGGAGGACTGGAATTCAGAGGCTATGTCTTCACTGAAAAAAAAATAAAAGGTTCCATTTTAACATCTCAAAGCAAAATCTTAGTGGAGACAAGATAAAAATATTTCTTGCCTCTGTGTAGCTACATGGAGATAAACTCCAGGTGGACAGGAGAGATTATAGGGTTGACCACAAGTAGCCACCTTGATGTAAAAACTACCTGTGCCTTTTCTCCACTAGGATTTTACATCAAGACAGCGATTTCCACATTTAAAAAAAAAAATGCAGTTTTTTTGCAGTGAAGACTTAGCCTTAGTTTTTATGCCTAAAGCATATTAATTCAGCTGAGAAGGTACCGTAATTATCAACTCAATTTCAGAAAAGCTTCAAATAATTTCTGGTCCTTCTGCCAATTCCTTTTACAGTTGCCTTTTCCCATTTAAAAAAAGGAAAATTTTTCAATGGGAGTGGAACACATTTGAAAATCTGGCCTTTACACCTTTGCTCACCTCACCAGCTATTCCTGTTAACATTTCAAATCAAGTGCTTGAGATAAACACTCACTCCCCTTTAAAAAAGAATGATCGTGCAAAAGTTATGACGGCATCTAGTTGCACAGATAAAACAACTGAATATTTCAGGATCATTCTGTTAGCAGAGCAGCCATCATTAGGCCATAGAATACCAAGCAGTTTGTTTTTTTTAAAAAGGAGAACAAAGGCAGTGACCACTCAGGCTATGTCTACACTACCGCAGCAAGTAGACCTACGCTATGCAACTCCAGCTACGTTAGTCGACGTACCTTAGGTCGAGTTACACCCAGGGGGGTCGACGGGAGAAAATCTCCCATTGACTTACCTTACTCTTCTCGTCGGGGGTAGAGTACAGGGATCGACTGGAGAGCGATCTGCAGTCAATTTGGCAGGTCTTTACTAGACACGCTAAATCGACCACCAGTGGATCGATCTCAGAGCGTTGATCCCTGCCATAGTGTAGACCAGCCCTTAGTGACCTTCCTAGGACAGTGACACATGAGCTGGAAATTACTTCCACAGAATTAGTATACTGGCTTGCAAGTTTGAGAAAATGTTTGGAGGAAGATGGGGAGGAGATTGTGGTTAAGCCTTTGGTTTACAAAACATTCACATAAAAAAACCTAACAAGTTTGTTCACTGAGTGCCCATTAAATGGACATCAAAACAAATTTATCCCTAGCTGAGCACTGGCAGGGTTTGTCTGGCAGCTGGATTTTAGCGCTCAATGTCACATTTTCTCATTTCCAATCTAATGTGAAGATGATGTACTCAAACAGTGCACAGCTCTCCATCACAGCCAAAGCCACAAGAAAACAACTTCAGTTACATGAACGCAGCTTAGAAACATTTTCCATTATCCCCATTCCTATTTAGCAGGCACTGGCTGAGAGTTTAAACTGGTTAACTGGAACAGCACTTTTTTTTCCAAGTACAATTTTGCTGCATTGCTCACTCAGCAATCATTGTGCTTTCGGCCCAAATTCAATCAAGTGCTAGTTGAAAAGTATAGTACCTTTCTTCCTATGCACCCATCACAGCCCTATTAAAAAGGGAGCTCATGAAGACAAAGAACACAGATCATGGAACTGAATGCCTCAGGAAATTTGTGACAGGATACAGAGCAGTCGGTCACATTAGGAAATGACACCTGTGAAATGAGTTAGGGCCTCAGTTCTGCTCCTAGGAGGCAGGTGTTCACATCAAAGGCTCCTTGCAACAGGTTCCTTTGTTAGAGGTCTCAGAACAGGGACCAAGAACTTGAAAGGCCACAACCTTATGCTGTATCTTCACTAGGAAAAAAGGTATGTTCTTAATCTGAGTTAGCTAACGGGTGGTAAAATCCTCGTGAAGATAAGGTAGGCTGCAGTTTCTCACGACTTAGCACATCAGTATAAACCCTAAGCTCCCTCCCAGTCTATGGCTATGTCTTCTCTGCCAGAAGGGAGTGGCATCTTACAGCAAGATAACTCAATCTAACCCACTTCCCCACACCTTTTTTGGCAATGAAAACATAGCCTTTAAGTTGGCTTGCTAACTTGTATGAAAAACTACAAACTGCCTTGTCTTCACTTGGATTTTACCTCATGGTAGTTACCTCATGCTGAGAGGCTTATGGATCAAGTTTTCATAGAGTAGCCTTTAATTTAGGTGCCCAACCTAAGACATTTTGGATCCGACTTTCAAAGATGTTGAGCACTTACAGTTTTCAATGACTGCTGTGAGAGCTCAACATCTCTGAAAGTCAGGTCTAAGCATTCCAATTAGAACTTGTCTAATATGACAAGCTTGTCTTGTGTGAGAGACCTTTGTACAATTGCATAGCAAAAGCTTTGGCTAAAATCATAGCGTCACAATTGATTAAAGAAACTGGCCTGTAATTACTACATAGTGCAAGTTCTTTCCCAGGTTTAGGAATAACTGAAATAACAACTTCTGTTAGAGTAGGTGAGAGAGTTTGCTCATTCTTGGCCTCACTGAATATATTCAATAATCTAGGTGTTAAAGTTTCAGAGAACTTTTTGTAAAATTCAATTGTGAATCCATCTGCTCCAGGAGTCTTTCCAACCTTCATTTCTTTCATAGCCTGAGTAATTTCTGCAGTTTCCAGAGGAGCATCAGAAAGTTCTTTCTGAGAGTCAGAACTGTGACAGAGACAATCCACTAAAAAAAAAGTCAACTAGGGCATCTTTACTGATTCCCCCTTTGGCAATAGTTTTGAATAAAATTGTTGAAATTGTTTATTAATATCTGACTGTTGTATATAATTTATTGCTACTATCGCAAATAGCAGCGATCTTATTTCTGTTAGCCTTTTGCTTATTTGTATGCCAACAGCTCGCCAACTCTCTTGCCAGATTCCCAAAATGTTTTATTCTGTTTGCTTCAAACAGAATAAAACAAAAACACAGCCTTTTGAGACACAAGTTTGTTGATTTCATATCTTCGATTGATGCGGGTTCTGAGACTCTCCGTGAAGGAGGAAGAAACAAGCAATAGCTATTCTTAATAATTCCAAGTATATACACTCTTATTTTTTAACAAAAGTGCCTTGCTCCTGTTTAGCTTAATCCACTTTAAAATAGGGACAGGGCACTCTTGTTCCAAAATAACAGTGTCTACACATGGAGTTATTCAGGAACAACTCTGTGTTCCTAAGCCCTTATTAGGCTCATAAGAACTGAGGTATCCATTGGCCCAACTCCAAATAGAGCGCTTGAGCTTGTCTATATACAGAAGCTGCACAGGTTTAACTTGAATCAGTTTAGTTACATCATTAGAACTTCTGTCTGTGGGGACTCATATTGGTTTAAAATGAGATACGTCAGTTTAGCTTGTGCCTGTACGTTTACTGATACAAGATAAACTGATAAGAGTTTAGACACAAAGCTGCACCAGTTTAATTAAAACAGTATTAAAATGTACAACGTATCACACGTACAACTTTCTGTGTGGACAAGGCTTTAGTGTTAAAGATGGATTTGAACTCACAAATTCCCCAATTCCGTTTTTAGTGTTTTCACTGAAAGATCAATGAATGAGAATATTCATAATAAACCTAGTATTCCAACTAAGCAAGGGTATACTATTAAACAAGGTAGATTAAGCTACTAATTTGGCCTCAAAGCACCCAGAAGAGTCAATGAAAGCTGTCACTGAAGACAGATACTTAGGAATTGTTTTTGCTTAAACCAGAACCAAGCCAAACAAACAGAAGATTAAGATAGAATTAATGTTTGATTAGAGGAAAATCAGGCTGCTAAGTAAGTGCAATGAACCCAATGTATATAAGCATCAGAGTAACAAGGAAAAAAAAAATCTTGAAGTGTCTGAGTTTTGCTAACATTTGTTAAAGGTTTTGAGACTGCTAAGTGTAGTTATTAGTTTTAAAACACAGGTTCCTTACTAGGTGACCAAATGATGGTTGTATTTTTTTAAAATTGGTAAAAACTATTAGTTTGCACTTTTTTGTTGAATGGGGCCTAGCATGTCTGAGTATGTTTAGCATTAACTACTGCCGTAGAGTGTCATTTTATTTTTAAAGATGGTATGTACTTATCCAAGGTCACCTCGAACTTATATACAAGTCCTTATAACTGTTCAGTCAGGAGCTATGACAACTAAGTATAGTACTATCAAAACAGAGGAAATGGAGTGAGTTTTCCCTCCACTCAGCTAGGGCTGAAAATTCATTTGGAGTTAAAAACAAAAACAAAAAAAGGATGCACTAAGAAAGTCAGTCCAGTCATGTTCCCAATAACTAAAACCCTGACACACACATTCAGTGCAACCCCACTAAACAAACTGATCCAGACGTGATGGGACAGTAGTTTCTAAACAAACTACAGAACACATGCTATCAGTTTGTTTAACCTTAAGTTATTCAGTAGTGCCTACTGAGAAAAGAAAGATTCCTGACAATTAGCTCTTACAACTAGGACTAATAACAAGGTAACTGACAAGGTAAAAATGGCCCCAAAAAATCTTGACCACTTCCCTTCAATATTGAAGAGCTTTCCGCAGGGCATTCTGTCTAAATGAGGTTCCTGATCACATTTATCCAATAGGAATCAATGCAGGTCATAGCTTTTCGCCCTCAAGATACAATCGCTGAGCTGTTTAGTATTATTATTAAGTGAATGGTGCACATTCATCCGAGGTATAACTCCCCTGAAGTCAACAGGATTTAAACCAAGAATGAATTTATCAGTATGAGAACAAAACTTTTCAACTTTATTAAAAGGCAAAGCAAGCATATTCTATTCTGTGTATAAAACTGGCACTTGCATTCCTTCCCACTGTCAGCATATTTCAACCTCTTTGTGCAAGACATTTCTGATAGTTTGTCTTTGGATATGTCTCCATTACAAAGTTAACGCAGGCTCTCACATGGGTTTTAGTCCAAGCCCGCCTACTACCCACATGCAAAAACTTTTGATCCAGGTTTGGAGGTTCTTTGGGTCTGCACTACCTTATTTGGCTGAGAGTACAGGTCAGAACCCTGGTTCTGCTTTAATTCAGACTGTAACCTGTTCATTTGGTAGTATGGATCTAGCTGTAACCCAAGTTATTTAACTCAAGTGCTGACAGTCCTCCAGTATCATCCCACAATTCCCTCAGGGGTGTATTTTCCTATCCTTCTACCCACTCCCTCCTTCTGCACCAGCACTCAGCGCTATACCAGTTTGGCACTTAAATCCATTCCACACAGCCCACCACATTGCTACAAGCACTTGAATAGAGTGATGTCATCCTCATCCCAGCATGCTGCTACCTGGCCAGAGGTTCACATCATAGAGCACTGCAGCTTAGTGCAGTGCTAAGAACCATGGGATATGCCCCCATAAATCCTACCACTTAACCCAGGTTACTGAAGCATCAAGGTAGATGCAGCTCACCAGTATGACTTGAGTGTGGTTTCTCAGGGTGGATGCTCACACCCAACCGTGGCCAATCTGGGTTCCCAGATCTATGTTAACTGCAGTGAGGACATACCTTCTGTGTATAATGAGTTTCTTACATTCAACTCCCTATCCGATTTTTAAAACAAAACAATCATGACATCAAGCAGTGAAGAGCAGTAATTCAAGCAGTAAGAATACTTTTCATACCAACCCTACATTTCCCTGACTTGAGCCAATTAAACCTGCTGAATTTCACTATTAGAATTCCCTTTTTCAAACAGGCTAAGTGGGCATGAAGGGACATTTAACAGCATTCACTGAAGACTGTGACTATGATTGAGGCTAAGTCTATACTACAGACATATATATTGGTATAACTACGTCGCTTATGGGTGTGAAAAAAACCACACCACTGAGCAACGCAATTATACTGACCTAAGCTCCAGTGTACACAACGCTATGTCAACGGAAGAGTTTCTCCCACCAATACAGCTACCTCTCACAGAGATGGATTAATTACGCCGCTTCTCCGCCGGCGCAGTAGCATCTTCATGTGCAGTGCGACAACAGAGCAGCTGCACACGAAGACAAGCACTGACTCACACAACAGTTAATGCCCAGAAGGGTTGGGCCTGGACCAACAGCTTCCTTTTCGCTCTAACAATGTTTCCAATTCCTGCTGGGAGGTGCCAGGCAGAAAAGCAGGACACATTCCCCAGAAGTTGAAATTTGTTTACATTAAAGAGTTTAAGTCATGCAAAAGGGGGAATGGAGGTCATAGCCTAGGCAAGTGTGCTAGATACCTTCTAACAAGGTAAAATCCACCAACCATAGGTCAACATGAAGGTGAGTAGGGTACCCACAAGTATGCTCCTTGGGAAAGGCTCGAGGGAGCAGGCTGGCACTCACCCCCAAGGGGTGAGAAGCAAAAGGACACTGGGCTTCTCACCACGATACTGACCGCAGATGAACTTTTAAATTGACCTCTGGCTAGGAGGTACCTGATGTCATGGAAGCTGCTCTTGCCATCATCTGACCGCTAAGGGAAAGGGCCTCTCCCACCTCCAGGCACAAAGACTCCCGGGGAGGGGAGAGATACGGGCTCTCCACTACTAGGCCGCAGCATTATTGGGGGGAGGGGGGAGAACACCGCCTCCCCATGAACCGGTCCCGTGGCTGCCTCTGAGGTACCCAAGCCACAGCGCCATGGGGGGAAAGGACAGCACTGTGCTCAGTGCCAAGTCCCGACGGGGCCGGGCAGAGCTGGCCGAGCGCTCGGGCTCGGGCCCTGGCCTGGCCCGGCCCCTGACTCGCTCTGTGCCTCAGTTTCCCCGCCTGCGCGAGAGGGGTGACGATGCCGGCTCCCTCCCCAGGGAGCAGGGGCCAGACCCCGCGGGGGAGGGGAGGGGACTTCCCCACCCCATCTCCCTCCACGTGGGGCCGCCCGCTCCTGCCGTCTGCGGGGCTGGGGTCTCGGCCGCTCGCGCTTGCGGCTCCGCCCCCCGCCATCCAATCAGCGAGCGGCCCCGCCTCAGCACACACCCTCCCCCCGACAGCCCGACCTATCCACAGCGGCGATGGCAGCACGCCGCCTCCTTACTGGCCACTGCTGCCGTCACTCCCGTGACCCCCCGGCTGAGGCGCCCGGGCGGCGGCGCCAAGGACACTCCGGGGGCAGGGGCATGAGGCGGCGCCCGGCTCCGCGCGGACCGGATCCCTAAGCCCGGCCAGCGCCCTCCCCCCAGGCCACGGGCTACCTGCTGGCGCGTCCGTCCCGCCCGCTCGCGGCTCTGCTCTGACAGCGGCCGCCGCTCTGCGCGCCAACTACCACCGCCCCGCCCCCTGCGTGCCGCGTCACCGCGCTTCCCCACCTCCTCCCGGGTCACGTGTCGGGGATTCGCCCTTGACCCGCTCGGTGGTGGTGCGCTGGGTTCCCCGCCCGTGCGTGCGGCCCCGTCTCGGCCCCACGTGACCAATAGCGGGGCGGGACACTGGGGTGGAGGAGGAGGGGGCGGGTGCAGGACACTGGCAGGAGGGGTAGGTGGGAGGGGGTGCAAGGCACTGGTGGGCATGTAGTTGGTGGGGGATGGGGAATGGGCAGTGGGGGGTAGTATGCAGTGGGGGAGGCGGATGGGGGGCAATGGGGGTGGGAGGTGTTGGGAGACAGATGCAGGACTAGAGTGTGGGGTGGGTGCAGGACATTGAAGGGTGAGGTAGATGGGGGGCTGGGTGCAGGACAT